AAATAAAATAGATTGAAAAAACTTGAGATTTTTCTTCGTTTTGCGAACCGGAAAGATCATTATAGGACGGAGGGATTATATTTTATTATTTTTAGATTATCAAATTAATTTATTTAATTTTATTTTCTTTCTGTTTTTTTTATTATTTTTAACTAAATCTGTCTAGATCATATTTAAGGATGTTACGATAATAATAATATTGGAGAAAAGATTTAATAATAATTGGAGTGTATAGTTTGTATATATCCATTAGAATAGTATATCTCTGCACAAACTCTAGATAAAGACCTCTTATTCGATTTGTTGTTGCACCTGCTTTGTTCTAGTCTTTGAAATGATTAATTTTTGAATAAAGTGATTTTTGAGATTAATTTTTAAGTGTTTGGAAGGGATTAATTTGAGTAAAGTGATTTTTACAACAGTGGAAAACAAAAGCATCGTGTATCTGCTTCTGTGAACTGATGTTCTTATATACAAAATAATAGTGAAAAAAGACAGAAGTTTGTATGTCAAACAGAAAAAAATGATTAACACTTAAAAAGAAGTTGAATCGTTAGTGTTCTTTCGCTCTTGAAACTTGTATATGGGTTGTAGACTTAATTAGTGACTTCGCTTCTCCCATAGACAAACTTTTATAAAATTATGTTGATAGAGATGAGTTTAGTATTGAACTACGTAAAAATATTAGGGTAGACATGATCCTTTATATAATGACCTTCCCTCATTCACTAGGTTGTGTAAGAAAAATGGAAAATGCTAAAAACCCCCCACCCTTGCTACCACCCATGCCCCCCTACATAAACATGTGATAGGGAGGCAAAAAAGTTAAAATTAGAGGGTGGGTGGAGAATGGGTAGAGATAAATATGTGGTGGAAAAATGGGTGGAGGCAAGGTTGGTAACAACGGTGAAAAGTGGGTAGCATGGTCCAAGAAAAATATTAGTATCGACGGAGAAAATGTTAGACAATTAAACTTCTATAATTTATTTAATCAAAATTAAATAGAAAAGAAAAGTTAATATAATTGGACAAGGGCCGCGCGGACGCAGGCCCCCACTACCACAAATTATGACGTAGGCTCCACCGCTTGGGTAGACCTTAGGCGGACACCCTTCCAAAGTGCAATGGAAGTCATCAGCCTAGGCCATGGGCCTTTGTGATCGCCCATTGACCCCGTCCAGGTAAGTATTGAGCTCATCGCCCCTTGGCCGTTATTTATACTTTGTTTCAAGGCTTCTTCTCTCTTCCTTCTCCGGTGTGGGAAACATCTAAATTCATCTTCCCCTTTGCAACGGAAAACTTAAACTCTATCTACTACTGCCCTATGCATGCGTTTGGAAAAATATATTTATTATTACTCCGTCTTCAATTTTAGGCTCCCATTTTTTTTTAAAAAAAAATGTGTTTTTGTGACCTTAGAATTTACATGTGTTTTTGTGACCTTAGTTTTTTTTTAATATTTTATGGCTGACAAATGAAACCTTAATTTCTTTTAAATAAAAGGTTTACTTTTCTCAGGATGTCTATATATTAAAATTCATAAAATTGAATCAAAAGGCCATGTAATAAATTGCCTTTTTTGAAAACTTAACTTTTATGTTTTATTATGCATAACTTTTAATAAATTAAATTCTATTTTTTTTTATTTTACAAACCAAGATGGGTTTAATGTAGAACATTAATTCAAAATGAAAGAAGTAGATAATACTTCATCTATTCCAAATTTATATTTCACATTTGGCTCGATAAGTAACTTAACAAAAGTGGAATTGTGTAGGTAAAAGTTATATGGATGAGATTGAAAAAATATTAACTACAAAAAAAATCCAAAAATTTAAATAAGGCCATTTTTTGGGACGTCAAGAAAAAATTTAGAATACAAATTCGGGATATAAAGAGTTTTAAAAGTGCACACAATTTAGTTTTAGTAGTGAAACAATCTGTTTCGGGACCCTAGAGGAGGGGAAAGAGTTGAGAGGGGGGGCATAGTTGTAATCAAATTTGGTTAGGGGTCATGTTACCCTTCTTATTCCCCGGCATTTCAAGTATTAAGGGGTTTTTAATTAAAAAAAATAATGACCTTTATCACTAATTTACTTATTTAAGTGAGGAAAAGGGATGAAGACCACACAAGGGATTTCCGTAGACTTGACAAAAATTAATCGATTTATTTTTATTGGAGACTTGATCTAAAAATAATGAGTTTAAATTAAGATTTTGTTAATCAAACCTAAAGATGACTAAACATGAAATACCCACTAAAAATAGGTCAAACTTGACCAAACCTAAATTCCATGTGATCAGCACGCTAGAGTAAGTCTTCTTCAATATCATGTGCATTAATATTTAAATATTATACCTACTATTATAATATTTATTTTTTCTTATTTCTTCTTTTTCGTGTTGAAACTTATTTTTTCACAAAGGTTTTTAGTGATACTTTGTTGCTTATGTTTTAAAAAAAGAAATTGGATCTGCTGAAAATCAGCCAGACAGCGCTGTCCTAGGCTTGGACATCGCTGTTCTAGGCTTGGGTTTTGAAAAATGGGAAGCAACGGTCATGCCACCAGCGATGTCCAATACCCCTACATCGCTGTTTTGGTTTTTGACTTCCAAACAAGTAAAGTTTTAGCCTTAAATTTCTTCCAACGATCAGGTCCCTACATCGATGTTCATTACTTGAACATCGCTGTTTAGGTCTGACTTTGAAGGTGGAAAGTTTCGCCTGACAGCGATGTTGCTCGGTCAACATCGTTGTCCAAAAACTTTCTGCCAGAAGCATTTCGTTTTTGCTTAGGTTGGACAACGATGTAGGGTAGTCTACATCGCTGTTCCAGATGTTTCTGGAAACCCAACCTTGGCTCAACAGCGATGTCTAACATCCAACATCGCTGTTGGAAGACTTAATGCCAAACCATGGTTTTCAGCTTCCCATGCTAGACAGCGCTGTTGGTTACACCAACATCACTGTTCGGCTGGTTTAGCAAGACCCATGGTTGGTTTAGTCATGCCGTTAGCCGATGACAAAAAAGTAAGTTCTCCAAAATAAAAACTAAGTATTGAAAACATTTGTTTAATGCATTTTCCTAAGAAATCAAGTAAATCATCTTGAAAACCACGTCATTTAGTTGAAAACCACGGCTAGCCAAGTTTACGCCATTTCGCATGGTTTTCACTAAACGACCAAAAACGAAAGGTGGTTTCTAAAGCGTTTTTGTTGGAGAACTATTTAAATATGTCCGGAAGTAAAAACGAATCATTAAAAGTTGAAAACCACTTGGTTGGTTCGGACGCCAAAAACCAACGCCGACGACCGGAAGCCGAACGCCAGTTTCCGAAACCCGAACGCCGGATGGCTTGGTTTTTTGTTTGGGCGAACTCAAAGTGTTTTTAGGCATGTTTAAAACTTAAGAAGAACATTTTTTAATATGCAAAAAGTATTTTGATGACATGAGCCTAGAGAGCCAAGTTTTGAAAGTTTGTGCCGGTCTTGATCACATTAAGACCGACTCAATACAATTCTAAGTCTTCGTTCTTGACTCTTGGTTCTTGGTTCTCAGTTCATCATGCCATGTTCCTTTGCCTTGGTTTTGCTCAGTTTAGTTTTGTTGTTGTCATGGCGGTTTGACATTATCAAAACCTGTCATAAAACGAACACGGTTTAGTACGACATAGGCGTAAACCCGTGTTCCAACAATCTGTACATATAATCAACAAATTCAAACAAAAATCCTTAAAATAGATTTTCACATAAATCAACATATTGACCCTACGAACATAAGATTCAAACCTATAGGCATAACCTAGTGTTAGATGTCCACGTACTTACCTCGAATGCCTGTGAGTTGAAAGAAAGCTACGAAGATTAAATTAACGAACGCCTGTGAGTGGTCTTCCTCTTCCTTCTGCTCTTTTCTTCTTCTTTTGGCTATGTTCCAATCAACAAAGAGAGAGCGAGAGAGAGTTGAGATGTTACCGCGTGCGTATGTGGGAGGAGTTTTAGGCGCATGGGGTAGTATCTATAGGTTTGGGGTTTTATGCTCCGTAATTAAATAACGTACCTCGATTAAAATATATTTTTTGGGCCAACTTGCTCCGAATTCAAATTTGTTTTCACCGTTGGACTCGTCTTGTCGAACCCTACAGAACAATATAACTTTTATATTTTATTAACAAATATTTAGATTAACTCCGAGTCTGTCTCAATAATTTAATTAATTATTCTTAATTAATTAATTAATTCTGATAGGCCAGATTTCGGAGCGCTACATTCAAACTTTTAATACAAAAAATTTACATGAGAATTTCAAGAAATGTGTGATTTTACGTTAATCTTACTCTTTACGAAAGCAAAAGGAAAATTTTCCCGCTCAAATTTTCAAGCATAAACGGGCTGGATAACTTACTTTCTTGGGCTTTCTATAAGATATATGTGCTCGGAAAACTTTTATTTTTGGCCGTTATGTCATACATATGAACCACCACTTAATTTTTTTGTGTAAAGCACTTACCACTTCATCTTTTTTACGGTTACCACTTCATTGATTATTAAACTATTAAAATAATTCGTCTAAATTTTCAATTGAAAAAAATTTTAGACGTAATTAAAATTAAAATTAATTTTTGGCCGAAACTTTTAGAAAAAATAATTACTTCCTTAATAAACTAAAAAAATATGTGGTCAACAATCTTTTTCTTTATTCCAAACAAATTTCAACCAAATATTTTTTTTAGTTTTTAACACTATTCTTAAACTCCGTAAAGTCAAATTAGGACGATTAATTTAAAATGAGAGAAGTATATTTTTTTAAATGTATTCTTTTTTAAACACAAGAACCAAAACTGAAATGGCTTATGGAAACATTTCATATTTGGGCCGCTGTTAAAAAAAAGCATTTCATATAGGGCCGAAGCCTTTTATTCCTAACTAGGTCTACGGATTTCAAGAAGCCCAATTATATTTGTACCGAGTATATAAACTTCCATTAGGTTTTCCGTCCGGCTGTTCTTCCTTCCATATCTGATCGGCGGGCAGGGTATTTTTTCCTCTTGGCGCTTCTACTCTCCATTTCTGCTTCATAATCCGTTTAATCGTAATTCTATCAATTGATTTTTGCTATTTTTGAAATTGATTTATCAGGTAAGAAGATTGTGAAGCAATTCAAAATGCCTCCGAGCGGTAAGCAACTTAGGATGATTTCGAATTACTTCTTGAATCTGTTTCTTGAAGTTCCTGATGCTATGTTTTTCTCATGTGAATTTACAGTTGATTGAAATCTGGTGATTTTGATTCTGAAACTGTTTTTCTTTGTGTACTTGCTCTGTTTGAATTTCTATTGTATTTTATTTGCATTTGGTCTTTAGATTGTGTTTTTTTTTTTTTTGCATTAAGAGTTACAGTTGGTCCGGGTTTGCTCAAAAGCCTCTTTATCCCTAAGATTAGGTCTTTTGGCATGTTTCTCCAAACCCTGCTCTTGAATGTGATATGTTGAGTTTGTTGGTTTATTTTGATTAGTCCTACCCTACAATTATTATCACATTGTGCATCTTTCTGCATGATCTCTGGTGAATATATCGCATCCATAGAGTAACTCTATTTTTTATTTGGTTTGGATTATCTGGTAACGTCCCAAAATTCAAGGTCTCTTTAGCCTTGTATATGGTGGGTTTTATTTGGACTCAGACTTCCAGGTTTATGAATTGAAGCTAATTACTAATGAATCATTTTGTCACAGGAAATGTTGCTAAAAAGGACCAAAAGGCTCAGGCTGAAAAGGCAGCCAAGGCTGTTAAAGGCACCACCTTCAAGAAGAAGGCAAAGAAGATCCGCACCAAGGTCACCTTCCACAGGCCAAAGACACTTAAACAGGACAGGAACCCAAAGTATCCCAGAATCAGTGTCCCTCCTAGAAACAAGCTCGACCATTACCAAATCCTTAAATATCCTTTGACAACTGAGTCTGCAATGAAGAAGATTGAGGATAACAACACCCTGGTTTTCATCGTTGATATCTGTGCTGACAAGAAGAAAATCAAAGATGCTGTCAAGAAAATGTATGAAATTGAGACCAAGAAGGTCAACACCTTGATCAGGTAATTTTTTTAATAACGAAAACGATTTCTTTTTTTGGGGTCATCATCAACCACTCCCTTAAGCTGTTCTCAATTCAAAAAATAATTACTTCTTTTGTTTTGCTTTTTTCAAAAAATTATCTAGGCCTGATGGAACCAAGAAGGCATATGTACGGTTGACTGCAGATTTTGATGCATTGGACGTCGCCAACAAGATTGGAATCATCTAAACAAAATTTGTACTGTCCAATGCCCCTAATGCTCTCTCTATAGACCTGTTTTAAATTTTTGTTGGTGTTGGTAATTTCACAATCACCCTGTAGCGTTTCTATCTGTTTTAATGGTGCATTTGAATTTCGGGCTTGTTAATGCCGTGTTTCTCAACTTTGGTGCATTCTATTCTCTCTATTTGAGCCTAGATTTATTCTTCTGGAGACACTTTGGTTATGCATTGCTAGTGATTTTGCTTGCTTTTCAAAGTTCTCTCGATTTGTAGTATCTTGATTTCAAATATTTCTAGTGATTTTTGCCTTTTCATTATTTAAAAATGAAGTTAATTTGTGAATTTTGCGAGTGTTTATTTTGTCATTAGCATTTCTCGTTCTTAATCTTTGTCTTATTTTAACACAATGATCAAAATTAGTAAGGGTAAGGTCTGTGTACACACATCCTCTCCAAATCTTACTCTTGTGGGATTTAACTGAGTTGTTATTGTTGTTGTTGCTCAAAATTAGTGCCAAATTAGGACACATACTATAGGAAGTTTGACATCATTGATGATATTGCAGTGTCTCCCAAGCATGCACATAGAATCTTTGTGTCCAAGTAATTATTGTTGGTATGTGTTTAAAAACCCAGTAATGTCATCAATTATTCTACCTCCGTCTCATTTTATAACGCCTGTTTCGGTTTACGATGTTTGAATGAAATTATTTTGAAACCATTTTATATGACAAATGGTATAGAATTAAAAAATAAAAATCACATATTAAAAAATTACATCAAAAAATCTACAAAACTAGTAGTGACAACAATATTTTATTTTATTAAATTGCTAACGAAAATAGAAAAAGAAAGTGAATGAAGTTTGATCCTGTAAATAGTAAACATGCATTATGATTTGGGACGAAGGGAGTACCAATTTCTAGTGTTAAAAATACATTTTCTGTCAAACTGAAAACTTAATGAAGAATGCTATAACTTCCAATGAAACCACAATCTTTATTTAGGGAGTTATTATTGCAACAATACAACTCTAGGAACTTAAGAAGTGTCTTATAAGAGTTTAATTAAGTGATGACTCATAAGAGATTTAGGCTTTGAGGAAGCCCTTCTCCTTCAAGCTCTCAACAGTCTCCTTTAGGGCCAGTTCCAAAGGAGTGATTGTGACACCAAGTTTCTTCGCCCTTTCGTTGTTCACTTTGTACGCCGGGGCCAACGGCTTCTTGTCTGCACACCTGCACGATATTCAAGGAGGGGTTAACTAAATTTACACAAGTTAAAGGTAATTTGAATGACGGTTTAAATAGATTATTCGTCTATAATTATGAATTACTCCGTAATTGATTATCAAAACTTGCACGATTTAAATTGAAAAATAAGAATCAAAATTGAAAATACACATAATTTTTAAAAAACAAGAGTACCTTTTAGGGAATTTGAGATTGGGATAAAGTTGTGCCAAGATGTTTATAAGTTGAGGAGGATTTGCGCTCCTCTCCGCCACATAGTACCTTCCATTAGCCTCACGTTTCTCAAATGCTAATATGTGAGCCTCCACAACATCTCTCACATGTACCCATCCATAAGCCACATTTGGGTATGTTTCACCCCCTACAACAACAACAAAAAAATAATCATACTATTTCAGTCTCAAAATATTCGTCCATTTTAAAATATGATCATTCGAAAAAGTCAAAATGGACAAATACCGTTTATCAAGCTCAAGACATTGGCGCAACTCTGGTTGAGAGAGGGTTGCAGCATGGGGCCGATCACACACGGCGGGTTAATGGACACCAGATCGAACCGGGCGCCCCCGCTTTTCAACTGGACGAAGTCCCAGGCGGCCTTCTCCGCCAGCGTCTTCGACAAGACGTACCACATTTCATTCTCTTTACAGTGATCGGGGTCCGACCACCAGGTCTCGTCCACCACGGTGTCGGCGGTCCGGGGAGTGCGGTTGAAGGCGATGGCGGCCTCGGAGGACGTCAGGACGGCTCGCCTGACGGACGGCGTCCTCGCGGCCGAGCCGAGCACGTTGAGCGTCCCCTTCACCGCCGGGTCTATCAGCTCCGCCTGGGGATCAGGAGTGTCATGGAGGAAGAAGGGAGATGCACAGTGGAAAACACCTTCGCAGCCTGCAATGGCGGCATCAAAGGACCCTTCTTCCATTAGATCCGCTTTCATCAGTTTCAGCCTCTCCTTTGCCCCTTCTAGTGACACCAAATGATCTATCTTCTTTGGATCCTCTGTTTTTTTAAAATATTAAATAGTAACAAACATCAAATACCAGAAGATTAATCAATAATAAATCAACCCTTAATGATAAAATGTGAAAGATAACAACACAATTTTTTTCTTGAATTTTTTGTCAAGTACTCAAAACAGGACGTAACTGGGAAAGCGGACAGTGGCATTAACAGTGTAGCCACGGCGGAGGAGATCTTTGATGAGCCACGAGGCGATGAATCCGGACCCACCCGTCACGCAGACCGTCTTTGCCGCCGCCGCCGCCATGTTTTCCGGCAGATGGAACTTCTTGTGTGTGTGTGTGTGTTTTATTTTAAGTTTGTGAAGGTAGTGTGTGGTGCATGCAGTTGTGGAAGAAAGGGGGCTATTATTTATACAAGCCTTGGGGGAAAATGTGAAATTGATCCATGTAATGACATCATTATGTGTTCACCTGACGCGAGCGGTGGCGTCACTTCCTCCGCCCGTTTGGCTTCCCATATGAATTCTCCCTTCATTTTTTTTGAAATGTAGGAAGGAAAAAAACAATAAAAATAAAGTGTAGTTTGGATTTACTCCCTTCGTCCCTAAATATTTGCCACATTTGTATTTTTGAGGCAAAATATCAAGTTTTTTCAATTCATTTTATTTACATATTGGTATAGAAATAAAAAATAAAATTTACATATCAAAAAACTACATGAAAAGTTCTTCGAAATAAGAGGTGTCAAGAATATTTTATTTTATCAAATAACCAATGAAAATGTAGAAATAACCAAAAGTTCCCGCGACTGCTGAAAAAGTAAATGTTGTGAATATTTTGGGACGGAGGGAGTATTAGAAGAAAGGAGTAATACTCGTTTTGTCGTAAAATTTTCGTCTTAATCTAATTTTTATGGTAAGTTTGCTTATAAATTATGAAAAAAATGAATTTAATTACTCCCTCCGTCCTATATCTTTCTTCCCGTTGCGCAAAACGAAGAAAAATTCTAAGTTTTTCAATCTATTTTATTTAAATATTGGTATAGAAATAAAAAATAAAAAATACATATTTAAAAACTACATCAAAAGTTTTAAAAAAGAAGTGGTGATAAGAATATTTTATTTTATTATATAGGACATGAAAAAACACAAATAAATATAAATTCCCGTGAAGTTGTAATAGTGCTCTAGGAAGAAAATTTTAGGACGGAGGAGTATAATGTAAATTTGGTTAATTTAAAATTATAATTTTTGAAATATCAATTTTAATAATATTTAATGATTCAAAACTACTTTCCATATTTAATTTGAAATTAAATATATTACAAAAGTAAAACTAGAACGATAATTTTAGACGAGGGGTAATATGAACCAGAGTGTGGTGGAAAATTAATTTGAAATGAGAAGTTATGAAACTTAAATGGAAATGGAAGGGTGGATAATCTTTTACACATTTGCATAAATTCAAAAAAGAATGAATTTCTAGAACATCTTTTATAACATTGGGGTTTCTTATATATAGTCTATATTAGAAGATTATATGTTCATAGTTTTGTAAAATCTCAAATTTTTTCAATTCATTTTATTTAAAAATTGGCATATAAATAAAAAAAATAAAACTTAAATATTCAAAAAGTAATTAAATTTAAAATTCTACAAAATAATATGTGGTAAGAATATTTTATTTTATCATATAGTTAATGAAAACATGCAAATAAACAAAAGTCTCACGATTTTTGAATAACAAAGTGTGTAAATCATTTAAGGACGGATGAAGAGTAAAAACATTCTAAAATAAGCCCTCAAAAAGATTTGTCTACATTTATTCAATTTTTAATGTATATATGCGCCTCGATTATTTTGGCACTAAGGTCATGTTCTATTTACCTGATCTGATTGATTTTGATCTAATTGGAATAAATTATGAATAAGGACTTTGAAATGCTCTATTCGAACCTAAATTTAATTTTTTGAGACATTTTGGTTATGCATTTCTAGTGACTTCATATGCATTTCAAAGTTCTCTCGATCTGTCGTATTTTGTAACAAATCTATTTAGTGTTCTATAAGAGAAATGCCGAGTCACACACTAAAATTGACAAACTTCCCATTTGTGATATATAATTTTGCTTTTTAATTATTTATAATTATACAGAGTAATAAATAAATTTGTGAATTTTTTCTTGTAGTCTCGAATTTGGAGTTTGAAGTAGTGATTGTTCTTTGTCTTATTCAAGCACAATGCTCTAAATTAGTGCTAAATTAGGACACATACTACAGCAAGTTTGACATCATTGATGATATTGTGGTGTCACACAAACATGCACATAGAATCATTATATGTATCCAAATAATTATTGTTTGTAAGTGTAAAAAAACTCAATAAATAATAAAGTGTGTAAATTATTTAGGGACGACAGAGGGAATAAAATAAAGTGTACTTTAGATTTACTAGAAAAATGAAATAATATAATATCTTTTCGTCTTAGAACTTTCCAATCAACTATTGGCAACAAAAAAATTTATCCCTTTTGTCCTATAAACTCTTTTTCCTTTCTTTTTTCTTTGCCCAATTTTTTTTCATATTTCTATTAAAAAGTTGTTTTTATCCCTATTAATTCTTAACTTACCTATCACATCATACCTTTTTACTAATATTCAATCAATCACATCTTATTTTTAATCATCGCATCAATGATATTTTTGGAAAGTCAATACAAAATATCCCTTTAGTAATTCTCTTAAAAGTCAAAATGGGAAGAAAACTTTAAGAGACGGAGGAAATACTAAATTTGCACCTCGTAATTGATGCGGGTCGGGATTGGATGGGGATGCGTAGCGGTCGAGACTTACCAGGGTTAGGAACTATCAATTTTGTGAAAAGAGCACCGTACCGTAGGTGTCCCAATTGGGACAATGTCTTCCGCGACAACTTTAAGTGAGTGGCAACAGAACCAGTCCGTTACGTTTTACATAACCGGCCTATTCAAATTCAACACGTGGTGTTTTTCACAAGTTCAAGAGAGTCCGGAAATAATATTATCAATTAGCGTGAGCGCTTTTGATAACTATTTTCAAAAGTGAGGATTAAACGCTAAAATTGTTCACATTATCATATGTCATCTTTTGTTAATTTAATATGGAGTAGTTTTAAAATATCAGTACTTTGTAACTTTGAAGATTATTTTTAAATTTACACAAATATTTAAATAAAATAAGAATAATCTTGATAAAAAAATGTGGGAGAGGGTGATTTGCCTAGTACTACTACTAAGCATGTGGGAAAGCATGCATGCACTAAATTAAGTGAAAGAATGGAGTAATTAAATAGAGTAATTATTTTATTAGATTTACAAATACTAATAACTAAATAAGTGGAATAGAGAGGTTGGGAAGAAAATGAAGCAATGGATCACCACTCATACACCTATAGACTTGCTCAAAATCTCCACATCCATTCAAAGTTAAACTGGTTTACTTTCTTAATTAAGTGATTAATTATAAATAGATCCAACACTAGCTACTTTATTATATGTCATGTGTATATATAGATATATATAATTTGACAATAATCTTTCATTGTTGATTGCTTCTATATATATATATCATATCTGCACTAAACTTTATTGATTATCTATACAATAGCTCACTAAGCTTGTGACTTGATTAGTAGCTAAATAAACTAATTAAGAAGGCAAGGCCAGACAATTAAAGGAGTACGGACGTACGGACGTACACACACATATATATAAATTAAAGAAGGACCTTCGGAAATGGCTATTCATCGGATATCCATCGGAAACCCAGGGGAGGCGAGCCACCCCGACGTGCTCAAGGCCGCCTTTGCCGAGTTCTTTTCCATGCTCATTTTCGTTTTCGCTGGTCAAGGTTCCGGCATGGCTTTCGGTCAGTTCTTTCGTTCATATTCTAGAAATATTTGCACTAAATAGCACTAAAAGTTAAGTCATTTCTCTAAATAGCACTAAAACTTAAGTCATTTCTCTAAATAGCACTTAAACTGTTTTATTCTCTAAATAGCACTTATAATGTCCATAATGTCCAGTGATGGCGAAATTTTGCTTGAATAATGACTAATGCATAATGACTAAAAGTGCTACATTGGGAAGAAAAACATATGTAGTGCTATTTAGGAAAAGTCATTATGTTTTAGTGCTATTTAGGTAAATTCATCCCTATTCTAATATGTTTTCCAAGTTGGAGACAACACTATTATATTGATCATTTTATTTAATGCTAATAATGAATTGGGATGTTTGTTTTCCAGGCAAATTAACAGACGGCGGAGCAACAACTCCTTCAGGGCTGATAGCGGCGGCGCTGGCCCACGCACTGGCACTCTTCGTGGCGGTTTCCGTGGGCGCCAACATCTCAGGCGGCCACGTGAACCCCGCCGTCACATTTGGAGCCTTCTTGGGCGGCAACATCACGCTCCTCCGCAGTATCGTATATTGGATCGCCCAATTGCTCGGATCCGTCGTCGCTTGCATCCTCCTCAAATTCGCCACCGGTGGACTCGTAAGGAACACTCTATTATAATGAATCCATTTTCATTCTTTGATAAAATAAAATATTCTTGTTGTATCTTATTTTGTAGGATTTGTAATATCTTTTTTAAATATGCAATTTATACTTTTTATTCATATACTCCGTCCATCCCGGAAAAACATGGGAGTTTTGAATTTGAAGATGGATTTAATAGGAGTATATTTTGGTATTGAATTTCCAAAAATGTCATTTGATGTGATGGGTAAAAGTATGATTTGATGAATAGATTATTAGTAAAAGGGTATGATGTAATAGGTATGGTATGAAAAAGTAAGTGGTAAAAGTGACTTTTTAATAGAAATGAGAAGTGTTTTTTGGGATGGATAAAAAAGAAAAGAGAAGGGTTTTTAGGGATGGAGGGAGTACTAATTTGAAAAAGAAATGATATGTATTTAAAAAGGTGGAATTTTGCATGTTATTTGAAGTGTGATTATAAATTTGCATGTATTTACTCGTCACATATTATTCTGCCCTACTATAATGTAAAGTGAAATTTACCCTAATGTAAAAACAAAATTGAAAAATAACTTCAGAATTATACATCCATTAATAAGTCTCACATTTTTTATTCACAGGAAACGTCTGCATTTGCGCTATCATCCGGCGTGTCGGTGTGGAACGCGGTGGTTTTCGAGATGGTGATGACGTTCGGGCTGGTGTACACCGTCTACGCCACCGCCGTGGATCCAAAGAAGGGCGATTTGGGCACGATCGCGCCCATTGCCATCGGTTTCATTGTGGGGGCGAACATCTTGGTTGGTGGGGCATTTGATGGAGCATCCATGAACCCGGCGGTCTCCTTCGGGCCCGCGGTCGTGAGCTGGACGTGGACCCACCACTGGGTTTACTGGTTCGGTCCTTTCGCCGGAGCAGCCATTGCAGCCCTTGTCTATGACAACATCTTCATCGGAAACGACCATCATCATCATGAGCAGCTCCCTGTTGCTAATTACTAGATTCCCCTCTAATCATTCTTTGGTTTTTTTTTTCATTTTCATTCCCTCTCTTCTATACAATTAGACTAATCTTCATTTCCTAATGAAGTTGTGCTTGGAAGTGAATAAAGTGAGTGATTAAAGAACATTCCCAAAACTATGAGAACTAGGAAACAGACATTATTCATTCATGTGTATTTTGCCAGTTTTATACAAAGTGTAAGCAAGTTTATAATTAAAGCATAATGAGCTGAAGAACACAGTTAAGAAAGACCTTTGAGGAGCCAAAGACCAAAGAGTTACATTAAACCTTTAGTACCAGAACATGCCAAGCTCAGATGAGTTTATCTATTGTTGTTTCGCGGATAGAGACGCGCCCGGAGTGGGTTTTTCATGACAGTAGTGAACTCTTGCTTTTCAGTGAGATCAACGCCGCAGCCATTGATGCACTTCCACTCAAAGAACCAAACCAGATTAGTCACAAAGTACTCCAAATGTAGCATGGCCAAAGCCAGGCCAGGGCAAATCCTCCTCCCAACGCCAAAAGGCATCATCTTGACTCCTCTGGTCCCACTTATGTCAAACGCTTCTCCTCCTCCCCCTTCTGAAAGGAACCTCTCGGGCTTAAACTCCACCGGGTCCTCCCACACCTTTGGGTCCCACCCCATGTCCGCCACCATGAAGTTGATCACCGCGTTCTTGGGGAGGAAATACCCTTCGAACTCAACTTCCTCTGTGACTGAGTGAGGAAGCACAAAGTGCCCAGGAGGGTGGCGCCTCAAGCCTTCCAAGATCACGGCTTTCAAATATGGCATTTCCTGTAAATTCTCCTCTTTCACAAATTCATCTTCTTTGGGTGAGGTTCCTAGAACACCCGCGATTTCTTCGTAGAGTTTGGCCTGAATGGAAGGGTTTTTCACCAAATTGGCCATGATCCATTCCAAAGCAGTGGAAGTGGTATCGGTACCGGCATTGAGAAATTCCCCACAAAGGGTAGCCATTTCTCCATAGTTGAGTTTCCTCTTCTCATCTGGCAATTCTAAATTCTTCAATGTATCTACATAAGCCAAGACACGATCTTCGTCTTCCTCGTCGACTCCCTGCTCTTTGGGCTCAAATCTGGCTTTGATCAAAGGGATCAGAGTGTTTTCGCGATCTAGGGCTACCTGAATCGCCTCTTTCCAGAGATTCCTGAAGAAAAATCTCCCAATTGTAGGCCAGAAATTGAGCAAATAGAATCTACGAAAACTGAGAATGACCCTTCTCTGCGTCGCCTCGATTTGGTTAATTAGGGTTTCATCAAGTTTATCTCCGAAACACATCATAGCAAGCAGGCAAAACATGGAGTGGCGGAAATGATCGATTACCTTAACGCCTGATTCTGGGTTTTGATTGAGGAGATTTTTGCAGAGATCTGCGAGAACCCATCGCCGGGCTTTCGAGTAGGATCTGACCCGAGAAGGGTGGAGGATCTCCGAGGTGAGATTGCGGCGGAGGAGGCGCCAGGTAGGGCCGTAGGCGGCGGAGCTGATGTTGCGGTGGTTGCTATTGAGGAGCCTAGTCACAGGCGGCGAGATCGGGCGGTCGGAGAAGACGGAGCCGTTCTGGATGAGAGCTTGGTGCGCGAGAGAGTGGCCGGAGATGAATATGGACGGGACGGAGCCGACTCGGAGAGTGAAGATTGGGCCGTACTTGGATCTGAGGTCCCGGAGAATGAGTTCGAGCCGGATGGGCCGTCTCCGCCATGGGATGTATCCGATCAGAGATGGTAGGAAAGGTCCCGGCGGGAGTTTCTTGGAGTTGCCGGAGAAGATGAACGTGAAAAGAGGTTTGAGGAAGAAGGAAACGCAGAGAGTGCAAAAGAGTGTGAGGAACCAACAGGTTTCCATGCTGTCGGAGATGTTCCCAAATTTTAAATTATTGGGCTCATTCTTATATACCCCTCTCTTCCCCCCTAATTTTTTGAATTTTTTTACTGTTAATGACTCCATTATAAAATACTTTTTGTTTATATCTTCTCAATTAATGACTCACCATGAACTAATGCTCCCGTTTTTATTGAGACTCAAATTCGGAAGAATTTTTCATAAATCATGAAAAATAAACTTTCATAACTCTTGTTCCTAAAATAAATAGTTATAAATTGGTCTGCTCTTTTCGAATTGAGAATGTCTAGACAAAAGATTTTATCTTTCTTACTTTATTGAGTCGGTTGATGAACCACGACGCTTGAATGCTAAGTTTCGAGACTTAAATGTTAATAAGCGAGGTTATTCAAAAAACGACCTGTAATGACCTAACACGATCGGGCTAGGACGACCACCCCCTTTGGTCGCACAAAAATGCCTTATGAAGTCACGTATAGCAGTCTTGATCGGTCCAATAATGGATATAGATTCATTAATATGTACTCCCTCTGTCCCTAAATAAACTTCCATTTTTGACTTTTCGAGGATTTAAGAGAGAGATATTTTTGTGTTGACTTTCCAAAAATACCTTTGATGTGATGTGTAAAAGTAAGATGTGATATGTAGATTATTAGTAAAAAGGTATGATGTGATAGGTAGAGTATGAAAAAGTAAGGAGTAAAAAAGAGGTTTTTTAAGGGAAAAAAGAAATTTATTTGGAAAGAAAAAAAAATGAAAGGAGAAGTTTATTTAGGGACGAAGGAAGTATTTTTTTCTATAATTACTTAATTACTTTTATCTTTAGCATATATATCACAATCATACAATCACTATTTGTCTACATAAAAATGAGAGTTGCCCTACGATGAAAGGCAATCATGCAAAGCATGATGCTTCTGCAAGTGCCAAAGACGGAACCTTTTTTTACGCCATTTGACGGAAGGCAATCATGCAAAGCATGATGCTTCTGCAAGTGCCAAAGACGGAACCTTTTTTTACGCCATTTGACGGAGATCATAGTTTAATTTACCTTTTTTCATCTAACTGACTGGTACAGAAGGGCCCTCATAGATGGGGTGTCATCCTTTTTTAAAAAAAAAAAGGAAAATTATTCTACTTGTACCCCATATTTGTATCCCGTATTTGTACCACAATGTTTTACCCTGACATTAAATGTAAGTGCAAAATTGATATTATGTCAGTGTTGTACCTACGTTTTGTGTCAGGGTAAAGTTTTAAGTATTAAATGCAGTACAAGGTGGGGTGATGGTAGCATGCTCTTTAAAATTTATTTTAACAATTGTTTTATAAAACTCTGAATAAAATATATAATTTACACACTTTATTTTCTTGTCAATTTGCAAATAATAACAATTTAAAAGAGATGATCTTTTACAAGTTGTTTTCCATCATCTCCGATGGAATAAATCAAAATGGATCTCTAATGCAACAACAATAATAATTATTTTATACTCCATTCGGCCAATGCAACAACAATAATAATTTTTTCAATTGAACTTTTCACCATTTCAAAAAACTTACAAAACAAGAAGCAATAAAAATAATTTATTTTATTAAATATACCATGAAAAAGGGAAGCACAAAAAATGTTATCAAAAATCTAAAATAGTAACTATGACATTTTTGGGAACGGAGAGAGTATAAATAAAGTAGAATTATTTTTATAAAAATATTAAATAAAATAATTATTAATAATTAAATACATAAAAATGTAAAAAAGTGACAAGGATAATGACTTGTCACTGCAATGCATGCCACTCCATGCTCTTGCCACACGATGACTGAACTGTTTTCTATTGGTTGAAATGTTCCACGTCAACGTGTGACATTCCATTTTTTATCTTGCCATTGTCCGTGCTCTAAAACTTGAATAGTTATAATTTGCCACATTATAGGATTTCTTGTCATCTTATATTATGTCATTTGTGTGACATTATATGGATAACTAACAGAATGGTGAACTCACGTCATGCATATTACTGGCATCTTTGAGAAAACGTCAGCATTTTCAAAGTAAACTGTATTACTCCTTTCGTCTTCAATTTGATTAAAAATTGCGGGTTACGGAGTAAAAATTTTCTACTTTTTAAAATCATTTTATTTACAAATTGGTATATCAATAAGATATAAAAATTACATATTAAAAAACTACGTCAAAAGTTTTACAAAACAAGAGGTGACAAGAATATATTATTTTATCAAATACTTAATGAAATCGTGTAAACAAACAAAAGTTGTCGAGAAGAGAAAGAAAAAAATTGTAATCTATTTAGGGACGGAGGGGGTATTAAAATTTTATCTAAAACACCAATATTAATCTCTAATCTTATTCCCAAAGAGACTTAATACTCCCTCCGTCCTATAATGATCTTCCCGGTTCGCAAAACGAAGAAAAATCCCAAGTTTTTTTCAATCTTTTTTATTTAAATATTGGTATAGAAATAAAAAATAAAACATACATATTTAAAAATTACACCAAAAGTTCAACAAAACAAGTGGTGACAAGAATATTTTATTTTATCATATAGGCAATGAAAAAACACAAATAAATATAAATTCCCGTGAAGTTGGAATAGTGCTCTGGGAAGATCATTATAGGACGGAGAGATATTCATTTAAAATTTATTTTATCAAATAAATTTTAATGCTACTGTTATATCGAATGAAAGAGTAACAAAAAAGAAACCAACTCATTAATTCGAAATGAACGCGCTTATGTTGACACTCGCCAATGGTGACATTAACAGTGACACTGCTATTATAATACTCCCTCCGTCCTATAATGATCTTCCCAGAGCACTATTCCAACTTCACGGAAATTTATATTTATTTGTGTTTTTTCATGGCCTATATGATAAAATAAAATATTCTTGTCACCACTTGTTTTGTTGAACTTTTGATGTAGTTTTTAAATATGTATGTTTTATTTTTTATTTCTATACCAATATTTAAATAAAATAGATTGAAAAAACTTTGGATTTTTCTTCGTTTTACGAACCGGGAAGATCATTATAGGACGGAGGGAGTATTATTCATTGCATACTAGCCACACATTTGAAGATGGACTTGAGACACGGCTGAGGTGGGGGCTAGATTAGGGATAGGGTGGGGGTTTAGGGGGTGGATTAGAAGGTAAGAACCATCGATTTTTTAATTAAGCACAAAGATGTTTCAAAAACACAGTGGTACCCCTAATCACACCGTTAGCCAGTGTCAACGAACATTAAACGGTAGTACTAAATTTACACAATCAAAATAGGTAGTAACTAAATTTATTTATAGAGCTTAAGGACAGGATTGGAAATAATCTAAGACGACCTTAAACGGAGTTTAGCACGCAGTGGATATTTCATGACCACGGTAAATTCTGGCTTTTCCTCAAGATTTACCTTTTCACCCTCCGCCTCCCTCCACTCAAAGTACCACACCAGATTTGCCACAAAGTACTCCAAATGGAGCAGCGCCAGACCCCAACCCGGACACATTCTCCGACCCGACCCGAATGGCATCATCTTTATCTCTCTCCTCCCCGTCACATCGAACATCTCCCCGCCGTCATCTCCCGCCGCCGTTAGGAATCTCTCCGGCTTAAACTCCGTCGGGTCCTCCCACACGTTCGGGTCCAGTCCCATCTCCGCCACCATGAAGTTGACCGTCGCGTTCTTCGGGATGGTGTACCCGTTCAGTTCCGTCTCCTCCGTCACCGCGTGCGGCAGCACGAAGTGCCCCGGCGGGTGCCGCCGCAGGCCTTCCAGTACCACCGCTTTCAGGTACCGCATCTCCGCCAGATCCTCCTCCTCGACGGCGGCGACGTTGATTTCCCCTGGCGGCGGCCCCTTGACGGATGATATCTCTCCGTAGAGCTTCTCTTGGATCGTCGGATGCTTCACCAGATTCGCCATGATCCACTGCAACGCGGTGGAGGTGGTGTCGGTTCCGGCGCTGAGGAATTCGCTGACGAGACTGACCACCTCGCCGTCGTTGAGATTCCGCTTCTCCTCCGGCAACTCCAGATCCTGGAGCGTGTCCACGTACGCCACTACCCCGTCGTCGTCTTCCTCGCGCGATCTGGACTGGGCTCTGGCGTGGATCAGGGGAACGAAGATCCGCTCCTGTTCTTCTCTGGTTCCGATCAATTCCCGCCACCGGTCCGGGAAAATGAACCTCCCAATCCTCGGGAAGAAATTGAGGATATTGAATCGTCTGAACCCTAGAAGCAATCTCCGCTGGACTTTCTCGATTTCCTTGATTTTCGCCTCTTCGAGCTTATCTCCAAAGCACATCAGCACGAGAAGGCAGAACATGGCGTACTGGAAATGATCGATCAGCTTCACGCCCGACCCGGACCCGCAATCGCCTCGGAGCCTCTCCAAGAGAATACCCAGAACCCATTTCCGGGCGCCGGAATAGGCCTTGACCCGAGAAGGGTGGAGAATCTCGGAGGTGAGATTACGGCGGAGGAGACGCCACGTCGGCCCGTAAGCGGCGGAGCTAATGTTCCGCTGGTTGCTAGACACAATCCTGGTGGTTGGCAGGGGTTTCGGGCGGTCGGAGAAGACGGCGCCGTTTTGGACCAAGGCCTGGTGAGCGAGAGCGTGACTGGCGACGAAGATGGAGGGATTAGGGCCGATTCGGAGAGTGATGAGGGGGCCGTGAACGGACATGAGCTTCCGGAGCATGGGTTCGATCTCGGATAAAGACCGCCGGAGCCATTGGAAGGTTCGGATGATTGGGTATCCGGTGGGTCCCGGCGGGAGGGGCTTCGTTCTCCGGTCGGAAGTGGAGGGGAAGACCAGGTCGCGGAGAGATTTGAGGAGGAAGGCGACGGAGAGGGAAGCGAGGATGACGAACCAGAGGTCCATTTGGATGAGTACTGTATCTAATGCGTATAGATAATGATGATGATTTATTGTTATGCTAAGTGGAAGGTATATTTCCCAAGGTATATAGGAAGAGCAAACTTGTCCCCCAAGTCCATTCCTACAATAAGAAATCTTCTTCCCAGTAACCTCACCAAGTGATAAATTGAATGAGCATGCTACATGTATCTCAAAATTTGTACCTTATTTGTACATCAAAGATATGTACTAATATTTTGATCGTTTACATAGACACAAAGTTTGGTGCATTAACAAAAATTAACACTAACACAAAGTGTTGGTATATTAACAAAAATTAATATTACACTAATACAAAATGTCGGTGCATCCCTACGGTGTACAAAATGGGGTACAAATTCTTGGGGTATAAATAGCTTTATCCTAAATTGAATGTGCGGATTATTTTCATTAGTTGAAGTAGATGTGTGTTAATATTTGATTGGTTAAATTTTTTTTTAAAATTAAACAGAAGGAAAGAAAGTGGTGATAGCCATCACAAGGACTCAACGAGAAGTGCAATGCCCACTCGCCCATCACGCCCAAGGTGTTATGGGATTTGGGGCGTGAAAGAGGTTATGGCGCCCTTCTCATGCCACCATAACTCATGACCCTATACGGAATATTCATTTTGTCAAGCTTCGACAATAACTGCATCGGATTCAATGTTTAGAATAAAAACACATTATTACAAACATATGGTGTTAATGTGAATAATATTATTCCGTCCTGGACTATTTATCTAATTTTAACCTTTTGTAATCAAAATTGATAAAGTTTGATTGCAAATTAAATATAATGGGTGCAGAGTATTAGATGTTGAGACAAAAATATTTTTAGCTGATCCTCTTAAAGGTCTTGTTTCCTTAGGTTTACCCTAATGGGATTGTCAAAGATGGGGATCCAAGACATTTCTCGAACGACCCGGTTTGTCTAGCACATCATTCTATCTAAAAGATGGTTGATAACCTAGAGAGCCGTTCCTAAATTATCTAGTGGTGACTCCACAACAAGCATAACGTGTTGACGATCTTAGAGGCGTGATTCTCCTTCAAGCCTCATCAAACCCCAAATTGTCATGTCGCTACTCTTTCTAATGAAGGCGTGACCCTAGGAGGTGACTACCATCACAGGCGTTGCCCCTCTCTTTTTTTATTTCAAACCAATTTAAATTCGACACACGTCTACATGAACCGATCAATATAATTTACATATTCACACTCACCACAACACATACGGATTATATTTTATCACTCCACATCATACTTCTTTACACAATACACACTCTCTAAACACTGTCAAGTGTACCATTAGAGCACAGGAAATGGCCGTGAAACCCCGAGGTTTCAATCCTTCTCACTATCACATCAGTTTTAACTTATATCAAAATTTTGGATGCTACTAATACCACACATTTTTTTTAAGAAATTGAATTACGCAATTGATGTTAATGTTTCAGGCTTCAGCTCTCATTGGAAATGCCAAAGGAATCTGGGCGAGACATTAATCTTATTCTGGCCGCAAGTGAAGATTAACAAATTTGAGGTTACTTTCAGGCGCAACGTAATTAAGAAAAGCTCAGAAACAGAGAGTCTAAGAGATGAGTGAGATGATCAAAATTTTGGAGATGAAGAAATATCTCGAGAAGATCATGGCTCCATTTGGCATCAGGTAAGCTTTAGACATTTTGAAAAGATTATCTGACAGTAGATTTTATTCAAAACGTTAACGCTAATTAAAACGCTTCTCCAAACAAGGCCCGTATGGATGAGAAGATCTAAACAATTTACTTGCGATCACATCCCTGCATTTCCCAAATGGTAGATCTGATACAATGCGTACTTTTTCCTTTTCTCTCTCTTTTTTTTCATAAATAAAATGCATCAGTCTTTATTTTGTGATTAATCTTCTGAGCATCTATTTTATTTATTTTAAAAATTTGTTCATGCTAAACTGAATTCCAATATGTATATTGTTGCTGTGATGTACTGAAAAGATCCATGGACTTGTTTTAATTCGTTTTTTATTTGACCTAATTATATCTTTGAGGATCCGTTTGGTACAAAGAATTGACGAAATTGAAATTGAATTGGGAGTTGAAATTCTATGGAATCGATTAGGATAGAATTAAATTCTTCAATTCTAATTCATTTTTAGTAATACCAATTCCAAATCCATATATTTTTGTGCTATCAAACAGCAGAATTAGGATTGTTGTCCCTAATTTCAATTCCGCAGTTTGATTTCCGTGTACCAAACGAAGCCTGAGATATTTTTAGAGATCAATCAATTCACCATTTCCCCTGCAGCAAATCTAGAATGACCACTTTGATAAGTGCTTCATGAGAAATGTACCTTTTCTTTAAATGAAAAAAAAGGAGCTCATCATTAACCGATTTCATTATGATTTATCAGTTTGTTTGATCCGAGCTGGAGCTCTCTTGGAAATAGCCTCTTCACTCCATAGTATGGGTGAAATCTGCATAGATTTTTTTACTGGGTTTATTGTTGTTTCATGGTCAAGAGAGGCAAGTTCTTACTGCTCAACAATAATTACTAGAATTTTATATGTTACAATGTAGAAACGTATATCGGGCCTTCAAAAACAAGTTTGACGTTGAGTTGATTCTTCAATATTATACGGAGTATTCTCTAACACGATTTATATAAGTGCACCGGTGAAGTTTTTGAGGAATCATTAAAGGGACTGGCTGCCTTTTTGGTTGTGACATCTGCAAAATGAACAAAGGTGGCTACTAGGAACACCTTGTTCGTGTTAATTTCAAGCTTTCCGTTGTTTAGTTTTATAGTAGAAAACTAAAAGACTGGTTTTGGAAACCACACAAAACTGTAAAACTTGCTATCATGGAAGCCTTTTTACTACAGGAAGTTATCAGTGAACCCTTCATAAAAGTAGATATTTTTCGACGTAAGGGTAAAACGATAGTCTTGTAGGGTAAGTGTAACCAATGTGGTAACCCAAAGTCATCTTCTAACATTTTTCCTTTATTGCCCCTGCCCCTCTAATCTGTGGATTGTGAGTAGACTAAACTGCTTCTGCAGGCACAACATCTCCTGGATCTGCTGGTTGCTGTTCTTGATCAGCTTGAGCCGTCTGGTGGTTGCTTGACTTGTCTTGATCATCTTTATCCTTGCCCCAAATTACGAGGTAAAGTCCAATTACAATCACACATGCCCCCAAAACTCTGCATTATTATCATCATGAAACTCCATCTCATTAGTAAATCAAAAGTGAGTCTTTCTAAGAGAACCATAGTTGTAGAAATTGTGATGCAAAAAAAAAATACTGGGTATTTTACCTTCCAAAGTCTAGTTGCTCGGCCAAGATAAACGACCCCATAATGGCAACAATAACCATGCTCAAAGGATTGAAAGCGGTAACAAAAACGGGTCCTTTTTCTTTCATGATTGCTCCTGAAATGTAATAAGCGACTCCCGAACATACGATTCCCTGCATCAAATGCCAACCCAAGATCTTAGATAATACAACAAGAGAACTAGCTAAGACATTTTTCAAATGGACTCTTTTAATTAGCTCCATTGGCAATGGGGAAAAACCCAAGATCTTGGGTGTCAGTTGCTTTATCATCTCATGTTTTGCTTATTGAAAAGGCATGAAGATGATGGGATTTCATTCATACACTGTAAGTATAGGCCAAGAGTTTGGCATCCCAGTGAATTGCCCAGGCTGCACTGTTTCCTCTCTCAGCAACCAGAGTCAATATAGTTCCTTGGAGTGCCCCCACCCCACATATCAGGCAAGTCAGGGAGAGTCCAGCCGAATATGATTTCAACGTAATCGCCTATATGAAAACACAAGTTGTGAGTCAAATCATAGAGATGTGACTATGTGAGCCACTACAAACATATTTCTACTCCTGTTTAAGAGCATTTCGATTCCTTTTTTTCGAAATGATTCCGTTGTAGATATTGTTTCTTTCTCTTATAAACATATTTCAACCACATAGTTTGTAATTTATTTTACCTGAAGTGTGTAAAAGCCAGCCCAACAGAAGCAACCTGCAATGATCATGGCAGCCCCCTTAATAGAACTCTGCTGATCATGATGATGATGAGCATTAACAACAACACTTGAAGATTGGGCATGATGATGATGAGATTCCTCTTGTGTCCATGGCAAACCTATGATGGGTCCTTTGACAAGAGTCATGACCATTGCACCCCCAACGGTTACCGCCGTGCCCAAGATCTTTGCCTGGCTTCGTAATTCCCTCACATTCACTTTCTCAAGCCTGCAGTAAAATGAGAGTTTTTTAAACCTTAGCTGGTGGGACTATTTTCAAATTATTACGGCGGTAAACAATGTGACCTGAAGATCCATGCTAGGAGGAAGGTGATGGCGGGTAAAACATTGCTTAATGCCGTGGTAAATGTTGCTGTTGTGTATTTCATCCCTATGTAGTACAAGTTCTGATCAATCACCGGCCTGTCCACAATATATGGTACGTTCAATCTCGCACTTTGATTTTTTTTGGAGAATTTCTAATCTCTAATAATCTAATTTATATCACACCAAAAGTGGGTACAACACTACAACATTCTTGAACATTAAGATTGAGATTTGTAAGGGGAAATGTTAAAAGTGTCCCACATTGAAAAAATTGTGAAAAAAATAATGGGTAATAAGAAGATATCAAATCCATTTGGTGAGATTTGGAGGATTGACATGATATAGAATTTGAAATCTGAAATAAACAATATGAGTTCTAAAATTGAAATTAAGGTGTTTGGAGAAATAAGAAGATATCAAATCCAAATCAAGTGTCTTAAGAAACCAGTTGGGCGGCTTTACCCAATCTTTAATTTTGTGAAAAAACCATGTAAATACTGAAAAATCAGATGACGTTTACGTGAATACTCTACAACTAATTTTTCCTTTTTATGGTAGTATTCGCGTAAAATCGTCCAATTTTTGCAGTGTTTACATGAAAAATTCTATAAACTAAATAAAGATACAATAACAAACATACTCCAACAGTCCAAGCAGCATTATTTTCATGAACAAGGAAATGGTCATCTTGGGCCTTGCTTTCCTGCATAGTGTTATGAATTAGCTTCCACCTCATGAGTTTTTATATGCATTCACATGTGACCAAACACAGAGACCTACCTTTCGAAGAACAAGGCGAACGGGGCGAAGAACACTGCGGCAGTGGCATTCCGGTAGACGGCGAAAGTGTAATGGCTCATGCCGCCGTTAAGAGCCGACTTGGCGATTATGGCCAAACCTGCATACCCAAATTGCAACAAGATGACCCCAAAATATGGCTTAGATTTCTTCAATAGTCTAGTTAACCTCCCATTTGCCACCATTGTTGTATTATTTGTTATATATATAGCCTTTGCCTCTTGGCTTGGTAAAGATCATTTACTAATTACCATATACTATCTTGTGTAAAATATTATGGCTCATTCTCTTAGCCCTATATATATATACACACACATGTGTGTGTGTGTTTATGTATGTATAGGCCTTTCTATATATACATGAATATTTTGCGCTAAGCTTTTCGGGCTAGCTAATTTTCGTTAGATTGGGCATAATAACTTCGTCCCGATCCAAAAGCGGCCCCGAAATTTAGCTCAAGAAGTGATGATTGCCCTCCATAAAAAGCAAGGATTGGAACACATGTTTGGACATCTCTGGATGGCCTAAAAACAAGAAACTCACACCAAAATGGTAGCCAAAAAGAGTGAGAGTTGCATCAAAGGACATGTTGTTATAACTCCCAACGTTATGAACAAGCTATTACTACATTATTATTATTATTAATTATTATATCATCATGAACAATATTATTGTTGTTATTTGTCAGGGAAAGGATAAAAGTATGGTCTTAATGCTGTTTTTTGACTATATATATAGGATATTAATAAAATTATATAGGACATTAATTAATTTTATGCATAATGTTGTTCATGTATATGCACAATTCCTATATATATATATATATATACGACATTAATATATGGAACAAGTAATGACTTGTACTATTTTTTCCTTCAATATTTTTTTTTAAACAAATGAGTTAATTTCTACAACAATTTTTGAAATTAATTCCGGGGCAATTTGCCAATTTCCTACAACAATTGAAATTTTAATAAATAACAAATTAAAGCACGTGAAAAGGTTTGGTGCAATGTTTTTAATTATTAGGTTTAGAGTATAATAACAGATTGATGAATATGTAGCCATATATGGATTGATGCTTTTTTAAGGTAATCAGTTGATTGTGCTTAGAAATCCCACCCAACATTCACACACTTCATCGTCTTTCATACGTAAATAAATTAACAACTAATTAACCGTTTAAGCCTAAACATAATAATCACATGTTCAAATTCAAGTTGTTCCTTTTGTTATTCTATCATATAAGTTATCTCGTTTTTGCGAAGTTATTCGTTTTGTTATTGTTTAGGGCATGGTTCCGTTGACACTGACTAATGGTGACACTAGTAGTGTCATTGTGTTTTTGGAGCACTTTTGATTCTCCGCTCCCAAAATTGATGGTTCTTATTCACCTAACTCATCCCGTAAACCCCCCACCCTAGCCTCCGCCCCAGCCCCTCCAAATGTATGGCTATTATGCGTTGCATAACTTGGGGGTGCAATTGAAGGGAGTGGGGGTGTGTTCGGGTCGGGGCGGGTGGGGAGTTATGGGGTAGAAACTGTCAATTTTACAAACAGAACACCGTAGCGACCCCGGATCATCCTATGACATGTAGTTCCAATGTCATGGGAACCCCTCCATTTATCCTTACTTGAATGTTTACGGGGTATTTTTTTTCTTCAGTTTAGTATACTATCAACGACAGAAAGTCAAATATTTAATTCAAGACATTTATTTTGACACACAAAATGCTTGTTATAATATGACATTGACTTCTTACCGTGCTCCGATCACAAAATTGATAGTTCTACCTAACGCCCATGATCGCAGATCAATAGAAAATTAATTTGTTGCTAATCAACCATCCAAGGGGGTTAGGAGAGTTGGGTAGTAAAAATCACCAAGTTTGTGAATGTAGCATTGTAGAAACTTCAATTGAGCCAATGTCATAATATGACATTTCCTCCCAACGTCAAAATAACCGCCCCATATTTTTTAAAATCTTTGATTAAACATTATTAATTTATGACAAGCCAAAATGAGAAGAGAACAACTTCATATAACGGAATCGGATGAAGGGTAAATTTCACAAATGGTACCTGAACTTTAGTTGGAATTTCGAAGTAGTACCTGAACTTCAAATCCTTTCACAAAAATCCCTGAACTTACACAATCCTTTCACTAATGAGTCATTAGCCCGTTTCTAGGTTAACTTCCGGTCATTTGTGAAATTTACCCAACGGATGAAGTATAGTCTATAGGCCTTACAAATCTAAAATCAAGGACTCATCAAGCTAATATTTCCATGTCTTATCAAATTGTTTATACTTTTCTTTTTTAGACATTCAAAGAAACATCTTACATTTATTTTATTTTCTATTTTAATAATAAATATGTGGATATCAACAATTCTCTCTTCATTGAACAGATACTAATGACACATTTTTTTATTTTTCAACAAAGGAGCATTAAATAAAGGAGCATTATTTTTCGAGACCAAAAACCCATTGTATTGTAGAGGATAATGTTTGAAATGCAATATGCTCAGAAAATCCAAACCCAAAGAAATATTCCTCAATGATGAAAAAGAGTGACTTTATTTATTGGACCATGCTACACATACACGAAAATATGTAACTCAAACTTACACTAAAGATATACACCAACATTTTGATGGTTCACACTGGCACAAAGTATTGGTGCATTAATAAAAGTTTACGTTAACACAAAATGTAGTGCGTTAACAAAAATTAACATTATACCAACACAAAATGTTAGTGTATAAATAGGATACAAATAACTTTAGGGTGATGCTAAATCTAGCCATTTTGGAGGGTGGATTTAGCAACACCCATAACTTTATCCTTATTTATTCTCTCCCTTCCACAATAACCTTACTTTTTTATTCTTAATGTTATTTTATTTAACCTATATGGCTCTATGATGAATCATATACCCCCTAATGTTGTGAGTAAAATTTGCACTAAATAGGACTAAAACATAATGCATTTCCCAATGTAAGACTTAAACTTTTTTATTCTCTAAATAGGACTTAATAATGACCTAGTGGGAAGAATAATGCCCAGTAATGATGGACATTTACTTGAATAATGACTACATGATAATGACCAAAAGTCCTACATTGGGAAATAAAAACATATGGTCCTATATTGGAAAAGTCATTATATTTTAGTCTTATTTAGGTAAATTTCTCGTGAGTAATATCTCAAGATGAATTTATGACATTATAAAAAAATTGGAATAGAAAAGGAGATGCAACCAAAGGCCCTAATATAATCTTAATTAATTTAATTTAGGCCAGCTAAAAAACGATAGGTCGATAGATACATAATTTCATAATGACTAACAAAAATAAAGAACAGCCATTAATTCATTAAAAAATACAGACCGTAATTAAACCCCAAAATAATTACTCCCTCCGTCCAAAATTAAACTTTACATTACGCGTTACGATTTACGATGTTTGACTGAAGTTATTTTCAAATCATTTTATATGAAAAATAGTGTAGAATTAAAAAATAAAAATTACATACTCCCACCGTTTGGAAAAAGTGTTCCTCTTTTGACTTTGTGTAAAAATAAGGAAATATTAAATTGTAGTTGACTTCCAATTTTGTTTTTGATGTGATAGGTAAAAGTAAGATGTGATGGATAGATTATTAGAGATAAAGTATGATGTGATAGGTAGGGTATGAAAAAGTAAGGGTAAAAGTGGTTTTTTAATAGAAAGTGGAAGTGTTTTGTTGGAAGGGAAAAAAATGAAAGAGGAAGTATTTTTGATAACGGAGGGAGTATTAAAAAACTATATCAAAAGATTTACAAAACTAGAGGTGACATGACTATATTATTTTATTAAATGGGTGACGAAAATATGCCAACAAAGTGAATAAAGTTTGACCATGTGAATAATGAACGTAAAGTTTATTTGTAGACGGAGGGAGTAATTAATTAAAGACTTGTAATTAAAAAATAAAGACAGCAATTAATGAATTAAAATAAAGACTTGTGTTTCTTGAATTCTTCTTCTTCTTTACTCAATCCATGGCCGGAGAACAATTACAGTAATGAAGTTCTTCTCCCGGTGCGCCGCCTATGGTAGGCAATAATGGTCCCTAGTCCTCCTCCTCGGCGTCGATTTGGTCCATGCAGTCGAGACAGAAGGCGCCGCCGTAGTCCTCCATGCTCTCGTCGTACTCCTTCAACGAATATATCGCGCACCCGCACCCCCGGCACCTCGCCACCATCCCCTCCTCCTCCTCCTCCGTCATCAAGTCCCGCTTCCGCCATATCTCCACCGTCCCGGTCACCACCACCCCGCCCTTGCGGCGGCGCGTGGCGTTCCTGGCTGCGCGCGTGAGGATCCTGGCGAGCCTGGCGAGGAGGCGGGGGCGCATCCCCCGGCGGGGAACATGGAGCTGATGATCCGGGACCTGACGAAGATGTCGGCTGCGGTCGGGGAGCGGAGGAGGCCGGCGGCGGAGGGGAGGAGGAATGAGGCGGAGTCTTCGGCGGAGTGGACGTCGGTGATCAGCTCGAGGAGGTGGCCGTCGATGCCGTGGATGAAGGTGTCGATGGATTTGCGGTGGAGAGGCGGAGGGAGGAAGACGGCACGGAGGGGGACAACTTGGACTCCGTCTTGAGCGAGGCGACGCCGGACATGGTCGCCCGTGGGCCCGACAGGGAAACCCCGTCACTATACTTCTTCATCACCATAATTACTGCAGTAATGATCGATTTTACTAATTACTGTTCTTCAATGGAGTAATTCTGAGATGAAATTGATGGATGAGAGTTGAGTGAATTGGGCGATGAATTGAAGAATACACACACACACACACTCACATACAAATCCTAGTAGCAGTCTGATTTGCAATTTAGGAAACATTTCACATTCTTGCCGCAAAAGCAACAAGTTTCCAAATTTTATCCAACAATTTCTTGTTTATTTTATTCTTGTAATGTTCCTCCAATGAAGCACGAGGGGATATCTAGAAAAAAAATTAAATTTTACAAAGTGATAATTTATTTAGTGATAGAGGCATAGGCCCTGCGACCAGAAGCACCCGCAAACGAATTGAGAGCATGAACCATGGTAAGGTAAAAATATAGTGAGATACACCGATGTGGTATATTTCAACCAATCAAAAACAATCATGTTAAATTGTGGAATTTACTAGTACAATTTTTACTAGCAGAAACAACTGGACGTCGGTAGCGGAAGATCGACTTCGAGCCACCTAGAAAATGTTAACTTAAACTAACACTAAAATAATTGATCTTTTTAAATAATTAGCTTCGGGAAATAATATATATTAAATTAATATTCCTTATCTTGCAATAATGTCACATAGAAAATGATTAAAACGATAAAAAGATACTCGTATATTTTAAAATTTTGGAAAAAGTAAGCACATTTTTGCTAATAGAAAATTATCTGTACAACTTTTTTTACTTCAAATAATTAATTAAATTTGCGAATTTAATAAAACTTAA